AGCGTGGTGCCCGGGGCTGGTTCCCCTCCGGCCCCGCTGCCGTGCCCCCGGGCTCCCCTCGAGCTGCCGCGGGCGATTGTGGTGCGAGTCACTGTGGTACTCGCAGCTTGGAGAGCCTCCCTTAGAACGAAGGCTCCTGCCGTGCGTGGCAGCCAGCTCAACCCACAGGGCGCCGAGAGCCGATTTCCAAGAGTACGTTCACGATTTTCCCCCAACGCCTGCGTTTTGTGACGCCCCTTGGCAACCATCGTGTTGCCATCTAGTGCTCGAAAGCCGTCACGAAGATCAGCTCTAGCCGTCCACAAGCGGCGCCGTGTTCAGCTTGTAAGGTTAGCTCATTACCAGTGAAAAAAGGTGTGCTGGTTTTTGCCGGGATGGAGTTAATTTTCTCAGTAGCTAGTGTAGTGCAGTGTTTGGATTCAGAGTGATAATACTGTTGATAGTACACTGTTTTGATTTTTGCTAATTTGTGTTTACCCTAAGTCAAGGACATTTTCTTTCTTGTGTCTCACGGTCTGCCAGTGAGAAGGTACACAAGAAAAGTGGGAGGTGTGTGCAGCTTTTGCTTCCTCTATTAAACTGTCTTTATCTCAACCCATGAGTTTTTGTAGCTTTTACCCTTCTGATTTGCTCCCCCATCCCGCTGGTGAGGGATGAGCTGAGCTGCTGCGTGGTTCTTGGTTGCTGACTGGGGTTAAACCGCAACAAAAGGCAACATGGAAACATTAAAACCCACCCCAGTTACCTGTATTCCACAAGGACTTGCAGAGCAGATGCTCTTCTGTAACACGTTCAGGGAAAGATTCTCTACCCAAGGCCCCTCAGCTATTTATAGCATATCCTGGCCTTTTTTTTTTCTTTCAAATATAAATTTTTCTTGGTTGCTGACTGGGGTTAAACCGCAACAAAAGGCAACATGGAAACATTAAAACCCACCCCAGTTACCTGTATTCCACAAGGACTTGCAGAGCAGATGCTCTTCTGTAACACGTTCAGGGAAAGATTCTCTACCCAAGGCCCCTCAGCTATTTATAGCATATCCTGGCCTTTTTTTTTTCTTTCAAATATAAATTTACCTTTGTTAGTCATTACTTTGGATTGAAGGGGAAGTGAATGGAAGGTATTCCAATACTGATTATGATTTTCCCTATTTAGTACCATAGTGTGTTCAGGGGAAATCAAGACATTTCCCACATCACATACCTTTTTAAGTAGTCTTTAAAAAGCATCTCTCTCTGGCCAATTTCTAGCATTTCTTCCAGAACTGGTTTCAGTGAGCCTGTTATTTTTTTTTCCCTTCTGGAGCAATACACTCTATGCTTTGGATGGAGCAAACCTTTCTTTTGTCTGGAAAGTAAATTGCAGAATGTAGCAGCTGCATCAAATAACTCAGAACAACCGCCATGTGACAGCCACTCTCAGGGTGTGGTGACATCCCATAACTTTGTTCTACTGAGCTGAAAATAGGTTTGTATTTTCTCACCTGTGATATCATATAAATAAACCACCACTGTGTAACTGGTGAGACACTGTAAGACTTGCAAACCAGAATTTTGGTCGACAGAACCTTGAAACTTGTAGTTCACATTTCCTTACCTAACTGACCCAATTCCTTCTCAGTTTTAAGGATCTATTGTGCCTATCCACTATCCTGTGGGGATTAAACCATCCCCAAGGTTTAAATACAGGGGAAGGCAAATGTCGACTTAGATGCAGTACTTCTATTTCCAAAGCTTTTGACAGAATATTTTGTTCTCCCTGGCAGTAAAGAAAACCAAACCCACAGTTTTGTTAGCCTTGCTTGAAGCTTTACCCCCCCATTTAAACAAACTCACATCTTTAGCCATAGAAAGTCATCCTCATCAGTGACTTCTTATGCCTCTGGCATGGAATTCAACACTTCTGAGAGGAGAGCAGCAACAACTCAAGCCCCTTCTTATAAACGTGTGTACCTGGTACAACTAGCAGTCATCAGTTCCCTTCAGCTGCTGCGAGAGTACAAGGGCAGCACAGGAAACTAATAGGTGCAGAGTCAACTTCCAGAGGCACAGGAACACATCATTCACTATGAACTCACCTCTCTGAATCGCTGCCACTAGCTCACTGCCATGGAGAAAGAATACAATCTTTAAAATGAAAGAGGTTTGTGCTACTGCAGTGCTCACCAGAATCCATGGATCTTCCA